TCATAATAGCAAGTTTTCAGGACTCTTGTACTCTTTTACACTTAGCACACTACACATACTGATTTATCTAATATTTTTTTGGGCTTTTTTACTTTTCCTTTTATATCCATGGGGAATGGAATAAAAATTTTTCCCTCCGAAGCCGCGGTGTAAAAGCCAACTAAAATCCCGGGGAAAAAAGGCGGGTACCCCTTTTTTCCTGTAAAATTACTAAAAAAAATAAGAAGAAGAAAATTGTAAAAAGGGGAATCTGAATGGCTGTTGTTGTGCAAATGAAAAGAAAGAGTGATTGTGGATGTTATGAATGAGAAAAAACGGGGATGTCCTGGCTTTAATGAACAAAGCTGAAGGGGGGGGGAGAGTTTCAATGGGAAATAAATGGGATTAGGCCCAGGGGTTCAAAAGATTAGACTAAAAAAGGGAGTAGCAAAAATTTGAAGGATAAGCTTGGCAGAAAAGAGGGGCTACAAAGTATAAATTCAAGGATTTTGTGGAGTAAAATAAAATTGGGTTGAAAAGTGGTTTTGTAAGCCGGTAGCACCTGGAAAGAGAGAAATGTAAGGGGAGAGAGAGATTCTGGGGAAAGTTTGAATGCGTGGGGGGTTTTGAATCAAGGTGAGAGTAATGGTGGTTCGGATTTCTGCTAAATGGGGAAAAATGTTATGGAGGGAGTAGTAGGGAAAAATTGGGGGGCCAGGGGGAAATGTAAATGGGGACCTTTAAAAGGCATGTGTAAAAAAAAATTTTTTTAAAAATAATACATATTTTATGAAAAAGAGGATAAATAAATATACAAGGGGATATTGCACGAATGAAAGTATTTTTTTTAGATAAGTATTGGTGGATAAAAAGGGTTTATGGGTAGGCTCCGGGTGTACATGTTTAAGAGGGGCAACGAAATTTTCGGATCATTTTTTATTTTTAGCTACAGTTAGAGTAAAAGGAGAGGGGAAAAAAGGAAGGGGGCAACAACAAAAAGAGGGGGAAAGTGTATAAACTAAGGGGGGGGAAGTTCGGGCAAAATATAAACACTATTGCAGAAAGGGGGGCTTTGGCAAAGATGAGTGGGGGGGTTTTAAGAGGGTTGGAATATTTTTTTAAAAATGCAGTATTAAATGTGGGGGAAATTTGTGGTTATAGGAGGAAAGAGGATGATTGGTGGGAAAGATGAAGTAAAGGGTGTGAAAAAGAGAAAAAGGTAGCTTACGAGAGGTTTTTTTCAAACAAAGTGTTAAAGAAAGCAGAGTAATGGAGAGTAAAAGAAAGGGGAAGAGAGTGGTAGAAGTGCAAAAGGAGAGCAGATAAAAAGTGGGGGAGGCACGTCAAGAAATTTTTAAAAAGAAAATAAAAAAAATTTTGGGGGAGTTAAACAAGTTAAGAAAACCAGGGAAATATGGATTTGCATTAAAAAAAAAAGTGGGGAGTTAGTAGATGGGGGGAGGGAGGTATTTGGTAGATGGCGAGAATATTTTGAGGAACTTTTAAATGTTGAGGAAGAAAGGGAGGTGGTAATTTCATGCATTGGCCAGGAGGTATACCATCTTTTAGGAGTGAAGAAGAGCAGAATGTAAGTGTGGTGGAGGTAAGTGAGGCTTTAAACGTAGAATGAAAGGGGTAAAGCAGCTGGAACTGATGGGATCATGACAGAAATGTTAAAAGCAGGGGGGGATATAGTGTTGGAGTGGTTGGTACTTTTGTTTAATAAATGTATGAAAGAGGGGAAGGTACCTAGGGATTGGCGGAGAGCATGTATAGTCCCTTTATATAAAGGGAAAGGGGACAAAAGAGATTGTAAAAATTATAGAGGAATAAGTTTACTGAGTATACCAGGAAAAGTATACAGTAGAGTTATAATTGAAAGAATTAGAGGTAAGACAGAATGTAGAATTGCGGATGAGCAAGGAGGCTTCAGAGTGGGTAGGAGATGTTTAGATCAAGTGTTTACATTGAAGCATATATGTGAACAGTATTTAGATAAAGGTAGGGAAGTTTTTATTGCATTTATGGATTTGGAAAAGGCATATGATAGAGTGGACAGAGGAGCATGTGGCAGATTGCAAGTATATGGAATAGGTGGTAAGTTACTAAATGCTGTAAAGAGCTTTTATGAGGATAGTGAGGCTCAGGTTAGGGTGTGTAGAAGAGAGGGAGAATACTTCCCGGTAAAAGTAGGTCTTAGACAGGGATGTGTAATGTCACCATGGTTGTTTAATATATTTATAGATGGGTTGTAAAAGAAGTAAATGCTAGGGTGTTCGGGAGAGGGGTGGGATTAAATTATGGGGAATCAAATTCAAAATGGGAATTGACACAGTTACTTTTTGCTGATGATACTGTGCTTATGGGAGATTCTAAAGAAAAATTGCAAAGGTTAGTGGATGAGTTTGAGAATGTGTGTAAAGGTAGAAAGTTGAAAGTGAACATAGAAAAGAGTAAGGTGATGAGGGTATCAAATGATTTAGATAAAAAAAAATTGGATATCAAATTGGGGAGGAGGAGTATGGAAGAAGTGAATGTTTTCAGATACTTGGGAGTTGACGTGTCGGCGGATGGATTTATGAAGGATGAGGTTAATCATAGAATTGATGAGGGAAAAAAGGTGAGTGGTGCGTTGAGGTATATGTGGAGTCAAAAAACGCTATCTATGGAGGCAAAGTAGGGAATGTATGAAAGTATAGTAGTACCAACACTCTTATATGGATGTGAAGCTTGGGTGGTAAATGCAGCAGCAAGGAGACGGTTGGAGGCAGAGGAGATGTCCTGTCTAAGGGTGTGGTGTAAATATTATGCAGAAAATTCGGAGTGTGGAAATTAGGAGAAGGTGTGGAGTTAATAAAAGCATTAGTCAGAGGGCAGAAGAGGGGTTGTTGAGGTGGTTTGGTCATTTAGAGAGAATGGATCAAAGTAGAATGACATGGAAAGCATATAAATCTATAGGGAAAGGAAAGAGGAGTAGGGGTCGTCCTCGAAAGGGTTGGAAAGAGGGGGTAAAGGAGGTTTTGTGGGCGAGGGGCTTGGACTTCCAGCAAGCGTGCATGAGCGTGTTAGATAGGAGTGAATGGAGACGAATGATACTTGGGACCTGACGATCTGTTGGAGTGTGAGCAGGGTAATATTTAGTGAAGGGATTCAGGGAAACCGGTTATTTTCATATAGTCGGACTTGAGTCCTGGAAATGGGAAGTACAATGCCTGCACTTTAAAGGAGGGGTTTGGGATATTGACAGTTTGGAGGGATATGTTGTGTATCTTTATACGTATATGCTTCTAAACTTGTATTCTGAGCACCTCTGCAAAAGCAGTGATAATGTGTGAGTGTGGTGAAAGTGTTGAATGATGATGAAAGTATTTTCTTTTTGGGGATTTTCTTTCTTTTTTGGGTCACCCTGCCTCGGTGGGAGACGACCGACTTGTTGAAAAAAAAAAAAAAAAAAAAAAAGTTATTTTATATGTATTACTATACATAATTAAAAACTATAGTATTTGTTGTATGTAAAACTGTAATTAATCTCTATACAATGTATTTTTTGTGTGAATATTTTTGGGTTTCTGGAACGGATTAATTGTATTTCCATTATTTCTTATGGGAAATATTGCTTCGAATTTCCGACTTTTCGAATTTAGAACTAGCTCCGAACGGATTAAGTTCGTTTTTTGAGTTCCACGAAATGGTATGTAAAAATGTTTGAGACATTTATTCAATTAGAAGTAAAAAAAAAAATGATTCTCTCAATGGGGGGTACCGGAAAACCTAACCTGCCACAAAAACGGGGCCCCCTGTATACTGTTATACAATTTGGGACTGCAAAAATCTCAGTACAGTGGACCCCCCGCATAGCGAATTTAAAATCCTGAAAAGGGGGCGGGGTCGTTATCAAATGTTCGCATCAATTTTAATTTCCCCCATAAAAAATAAGGGAAAAAAAATTAATCCGGAAAGACACCCAAAAGTATGAAAAAAAAATTTTTACCACAAAAAAATGTTAATTTTTTTAGTACACACAAACGAAAAAGCATGCACAATTACTTACACTTACTTTTATTGAAGATCGGGAGATTGATGGGAGGGGGGAGGGGAGAGAGAGGTTAGTGTTTGAAGGGAAACCCCTTCCTTAACACTTGGGGCAAGTCCTTTCCGGGGTTACTTCCCCTTTTTCTTTTAATGCCACTAGGGGCCACTTGAAGTCACGGCTTTTTTCTGTCCATAAAGGGCCCGACCTCCCGTTCCTTTACGATTTTCTAAAATGGCCATAACATTGTCATTGAAATAGCACCAGCACGCCTTGCAACAGCTTGTCAGGGTGATTTTCATCCCAAAAAATTTTCATTCAACCCACTGGCACACTTTTCCCTTAATTTTTGAAGTAGGCACAAGGATTCCACAACGGGATAGGGTTCTCAGGGGTTTGCCCCAAACCCTTTAAATCTTTTTTTAATTTCCATACTAATTCCCCCTTTTTACCACAGGGTTGGGATAGAAACTTTTTGGGGCCCCTGGTCACTTTTTTTCAACAAAAAGAAACCCAAAACACTGTAATAATACAAAAATTCCCAGTGAAAGCTTGAATGTTCCGCGGAGGCTAGCGGTAAACAATGGGACAGGCGGCACTGTAGGCTGGCCGAGGCGCACATTGGACGCGTCTCGGGCAATTCGCTGACGGGTTTTTTGTCTACTTGCGGGCAAAATTTCAGCGAACAAAGCGTTTCCATGCGGATTTTTCGCTATGCATGCGTTCCTATGCGGGGGCCCTGTACATTGTTTTCCCCCACTCCTAGAGGGGGTATTAAGTGATCAACCCCCGAAAAACTCCTAAAAAAAAAAATTTATGACTAAATACTGAGACACTAAGAGTTTTGTTCGCTCCAGTACTACAAATAAATAATCAAAAAGGTTTTAAAAATTTAGAAAATATGAATTGACCGGAATAATATCAAGATAACCAGCCATAACAGCAAATTATGTGGGCCAGTAAGCATATTGATCATCACTATCAATTTTCTGAGGAATCTAGAGATGATGCAGACTTGGAGAAAGGTGCTCGTATCACAACTGGACGACGAAGGGGAGAATCTCCATCATCAAAAAAAGAACGAAAAAAAGCAGTGAAAGATGCTCAAGCAGAAAAAAGAAAAATAAAGGTGAAAAAGCACATAAAGAAAAGAGCTGAAAAAGATAAGAGAAATAAACATTAATGTTTTAAAAAAATTAAAAAAAAAAAAAAGTATGCTTTAACCCTTAAATGGTCCAAACGTATATACTATACGTTTTTTCAACATCTGAAAGTATGTAAAAAAATGTAGATCTTTTTTGTTTTACATTTGAAAACGTGTAAAAAAAACTTTTATCTACATTTTTTTTTTTTTTTTTTTTTTTGTTATATTTGAAAATATGTAAAAAAAAGTAGATCTACTTTTGTAGCACTACGAATTTGAACGTCGATTTGTTTGGACCGTTTAAGGGTTAAAGAGTGAATATATGTATTTTTTTAATTCTGCAGTCCACGGACAGCAACACCTGGCATTTACCACAAAGCTTGACCTCAGGCCAGGCTGCTGAGGCTGAAGAGCTCTCAAAATTTCTCGCAAATTTTCACAGGTATAGAAGAAGTAAATTTGAATGTGAAGAACAGTAATATACCTGGAATGATAAAAAACTCATTGACCTAGTGAGGTACTGAAGATTGCAAATGAAAGAGTAATTGTGTTGTACATAGAGATTTTAAGTAAGTGCCTACTTAAATGTTTACCAAATAATTGTTCTATTTTCAAATAATATACAACAATGAAAATTATGTAAAAAGAAAGAGAATATTTCATTACTGTAAATTAAAAGTACACATAAGTTCTGTAGTTGTTTTATTGTGGTAAAACATTCAATTACTCTTACATCTTTGAGGGGGGCTCCTTGCTGAGGTAAAGAGGCTGTCGGTTGGAGGAATTGGACCTCTTGGTCGTCTTCCTCCGACCGAACCTAATTACTCCCCAATCCTCTCTTCCCTACCACACCCACCCCATGCCCCCCCCCCTTTTTTCCCCCTTTCCTCCCCTCTCCCCACCCTCGTTTCCCATCCCATTCGTAGTCTCGGGTCCTCCCCTTGTCTGAAGGTGCCCTGCTCCCTTCCCGGATTTACAAGAAGTAAGTGGGGTTCCCTTCGGATAATGGGTGTATCTCTGCAAGCTGCCTGTCGGTTCTGGGAGGTGGCAGCCGAAGGAGGTATGCTTTGTGGCAGGTTTCCGACCGCCCTTTCTTTTGTCTGCTGAGGTGGCTCGGTAGATGTTAGGCTGCTATCCCGGAGCGCTGGTTTACTGGCGTGAAGGGTAGGGTATGGCACGGGTTCCATGCTGCATCTTCACTGCCCTTGGGCTCGAGGCTCTCTCGGTTGAGGGGGTGAACTTCCCGCCCTTCTGTACCTCTTAGTGACTGTCCCTCCGCTGACCCTCTTTTTTTTTTTTCTTTCCTTCTTTTTTTCTAAAAATAAGAAAGAAGGTATCATGGAAGAATCACCTTTATTATGGAGTCTTCACCTAATGAAACCCTTCCCCCTCCCAGACCCCCTTTCTGATCCCACACCCTGTTCTGACCCGGCTTCGTTATTGGTCCATTCTCTCGAATCTTCTCATACCCTTGTACCTTCTGCCGGTGACACTTCGTCACCTGCTTCAGGTGCTGCAGCATAACCCGTTTCTGTCCATGTTGCTACTTCTAGCATGCATCTCACAATGTGTCCAGCTTCCCTGAATACAGTGCGATGATTTTTGGATCGCCTGCCTCCCTTGGGTCAACCCGCCTGCTGTACTACTCCTAAACGTCCAAGACAACCCACTGATGACAGTTCGTCGATGATCACTGAAAAACAACCTACACGACACTCGCTACCTTTGCGTAACGGGCTAACGAGTGCGCAATGGACAAAATTCTTTTCTTTACAAATGATGTCTCCAAGGGCACATTAGCCAAAATAAATCCTTACACGCTCTTCAAAGTGGTGTGTGTGTCATAACTGTATGGAATTCAGAGCAAGCTCATGCTCTCTCCCACATCACTTCCATTGATAACATACCAGTCACCGTTCGTAAGCACGCTACTCGTAATTCTTGCAGTGGTACTGTGGTTTTACCACATACCATTGTACAGAGTGATTTTTTGTCTTGTGGCGATAACATTTTAGGACAATTAGTCCTTGAAACCCTCCCTATTCTTAAGGTAGGTAGATACATCCTGACCGCTCGTGGGTGGAGGCGCTTCGCTAGTAACATCGCTCGTTTAACCTTCAACTGCCGTGAACTTCCGTCCTCTGTCTATATTGTGGGCCATCGTTTAGAGGTCCGTCAAGTAGTTCCCACCCCAACAGTGTCGTAATTGCTGGCGTTTTGGGCACTCCGCTAAACACTGCAGATCTGCGGTGGAATGCCCGATCTGCAGTGCAGCAGATCATTCCAATACCTCTTGTAGTCCTTCCCCCCTCCTTGTCTCAATTGCAAGGAAGCTCATCCTTCCTTTTCCTGCTGGTGCCAGGTCTTTCATAATGAACGAGAGATCCGTTACCTTAAAGAGCGCGGGGGGGGGCCTTATTTACACTATGGCAGTCTCTCAGTTCTCCCTTTTCAAGGAAAATTTCCCTTTTCCTGTCCTGTGTGTTTTGAGTAGTTGCAGCCCTCCAACCTCGACAGTCCCCCCAAAACTTCCCAACCCCTCTGCTTCTGTGTTTTTCCGGGGCCCCCCCCCAGTTTTCTAATGCTTTGCTTTTTTTATCCCTGACACTCTTCCTCCACCCCAAATTTTTTTACTTCGCTTCTTCTCTGCTCGCTTACTTCTCAGTCCTGACCTCACATCCCTAACACTTTTTTTTTTCCCTTTCCCATTCCTGTCCGAATCTTCTTCAAACCTCAGAACTTTTTCTCACCCCCCTTTCCCCAGCCCTCACACAAAAGGTTCACCTTACCCCTAGTGAAATTTCCCCTTCTTCCCCCCCCCCCCCCCGGTTTTCCTTATTGCCTCCCAAACCTCCACCCCCTTTTCCTTTTAGATGCGGGAAATCCTCTCCCCCCCATTGCAACTCCCCGGGGGCTCATACTCCCCACCTCCCAAACCCTTTTTGGTTGCCTAAATAGTTACCTCCCGACCTTTACTTGCAATCCCTTTCCCCTGTCTCTGCATCATGGAAATCACAGTTTCCCTTATAAAACTGAGAAAATTAGACACAATCTCCAGTATTAGCAGAGAAAACCCCCCCAAGGGAAAACCCCAATGCGCCCCCTTTCTAACCCCTTCTATTTCAAAACCCCATGAAACAACCCTATTCCTCCCAATATTCAAATTTTTCCCCTTTAACTTACACCCCCCGTTCCCCCCACACGTTAATTTTGGGCCTGACCCTAAAACCCCCTGGGTTTTTTAATTATTTTTATTGTTTCATTTTTATTTCTGTACAAAATTGAAAAACCATACCCTTAGGGGCAATCGGGGAAAAAACCAAATTTGTTCCCTTCCCCCATTTTGTCCCCGGGTGTTTTTGGGTTGAAAAGGGGCCCAAAAAACATTCTGCTGTCATTCCCCCCTTTTTTGGGGCTACTTGTTTGTTTACATTCTTCCGTTTCCTTTAGCAAACGAATTTTTTAGTGAAAGCGCGTTTTGGTACGCATTGATATACCTTATCATCTTTTACCCCCCCCCAAAATTTGTTTTTGGGGTAAATTTTAACGCTTACCATCCCCTGTGGGGGGGCCCCCCACTGCGATTTCTTTGGTGATAAATTGGGAGATCTTCTCCCCGTCTCATCCTATTCATTTTTTAAACACGGGTTTGCTCCTCCCCCTTTTGCTCTCGAAACTTGGTCCTTTTGCATTGATTTTTCTATCTGTTCCCGTTCGTTGCACTTGTTTCGGGGGGGGTCTGTTCTTCCAGTTTTAAACATGATAGTGATCACTTTTTCCCCCCCTTCTTACTTCTACTATGTAAAACCCCACCATTTCCTTTGCCCTCTTTGGCAATTTGCCCCGAGCAGATTGGGGCTTGTTTCTCCCCCTCTTTCCAAAAAGTTTTGAAGGGCTCCCTTTCATCCCCTATTGGGGAACGGCACACCAAAATTTTTGACCCTTGGGCCTAGCTTTCAGCGACATGTTTTTATCCCCCAAACCTCAGGGAGGCAAATTTTCAGGCATGCGTTTCCTTGGTGGGCCCCCCCTACATGCGCCCCGGGAGTGTGTTTTTAAAAAAAGTTGCCCTGGGGGGAGTTTTTTTATATAATCGTACTGCGGGGCCCTCTGTTGGATTTCAAACATCCTCCGCACGCTAAATGCACTTGCTGGCGAGAGGGATGTTTTCTACCAATTTAAATGTCCCTTCCCCCATGTTTCCATTTCTCATTTGGGCAGTCGTCACGTGGGGGCCCCAGCCCCCGAGCTGCTTTGGGGATTATGTGGCGGTTACAAAGCTGGCTTTTCTTTGCAGTTTTTTTTAAAAATTTAGGTTGGGGTTGAAGGGGGAGGTTTTTCTTCTCCCAAGGGGATTAAAGGAAGGGGAAGGTCCAAACCTTTAATGGGTCTGGGAAAAAGAGTTGGGTTTAGGGGGGGCTGGAGTTTTGGGGAATTTTGGGGTTTTTGCAGCGAGGTGCAGTCTGTCTCTCGCTGTGAGGAGGCTGTAGTTTTTTTTTTGGGGGGGCAGCAACGGCTAAGCAGTTTAGGTGCAGCCCAGCACCTGCTACAAATGGCGAGTAGTTCACATAATGGGAAGGGGCATCAGAGTAAGGAAAAATTAAGAGTGAAATCTGAAGGTAGGAAATCGCTTCTCTGTTCTTCAGGATGAAAGTACTTCAGTGGCCAGTGAAGGTAAGGGTACTACTGCCCTGCTAATGGAGGTAAGCGCATTCTTGTGGTTGGTGACTCTCAGGTAAGATACATTGACCGTGCTTTTTGTAATAGGAATAAGAAGATGAGAGATAGAGTGTGCTTCCCTGGAGCGGGTGTTGGGGACATTGTCAACGGGCTGGATAATATCATGTCAGGTAATGGGAGCAAGCCCATTATCTGTCTCAGTGCTGGTGGAAATGATATTGGGAAGGGTAGGAGAGAAGAGCTGCTAGATAAGTACAGGTCAGCTATAGATTTCATTAAGTCTAAGGGAGGGATCCCAATCATATGTAGCATCTTGCCTAGAAGGGGAGTAGGAAATGAATGGTTGTCTAGGCAATTGGTGTAAATTGCTGGCTAGACAGATACTGCAAGGAACTTGCAATCCCATTCATTGACAACTGGAACAACTTTTATGGCAAATATGATATGTATGCAAGGGATGGGGTACATCTCTCTGGGGCTGGGTGGTAGCACTTGCAGACTCGATTGAGAAGGCCATTGGCGAAATGCCTATGATTTTAAACTGATGGAAGATAGAGGTATGGGTGTGTGGGGGAAACAAGCAGGTTGCAACACTTGGGTTGGAAACAGTAAATGTATAAAAGGCATTTAGCATGAAGTTATAAATAAAGACAATAGATCAGGTCAGCAAACAAAGGGGACAGCAGAGGGCAGCAAGGGACTAGCTCCCTTAAGGTTTACTATACTAATAGCAGGAGTGTAAGAAATAAGATAGATGAGCTAAGATTAATTTGCAAGTGCAGGAAACATAGATATTATTGCTATAACAGAGACCTGGCTCAATCTGAAAGATAGAGAGATGCCCTCTGAATGTCACATACAAGGCTATAAATTATTCCACACTGACGGGGTCAGCAGGAAAGGTGGTGGAGTAGCGATGTACGTCAGAGACAATTTAAATTGTTGTGTTAGACAAGATATTAAATTAGAAGCGTCAGCCACTGAATCTGTTTGGTTACAGCTTCTCGAGGGC